GATGATGGCACAAATCCTGAAGGATATGGGGATTACAGAATATGAGCCAAGAGTTATAAATCAGATGTTGGAGTTTGCCTTCCGATATGTGACCACAATTCTAGATGATGCAAAAATTTATTCAAGCCATGCTAAGAAAGCCACTGTTGATGCAGATGATGTGCGATTGGCCATCCAGTGTCATGCTGATCAGTCTTTTACCTCTCCTCCCCCAAGAGATTTTTTATTAGATATTGCAAGGCAAAGAAATCAAACTCCTTTGCCATTAATCAAGCCATATTCAGGCCCCAGGTTGCCACCTGATAGATACTGCCTGACTGCTCCAAACTATAGACTTAAGTCTTTACAAAAAAAAAGGCATCTACTTCTGCGGGAAGAATAACAGTTCCATGGTTAAGTGTTGGTTCAGTTACTAGCAGACCAAGTACTCCCACACTTGGCACACCAACCCCACAAACCATGTCTGTGTCAACTAAAGTAGGGACTCCAATGTCCCTCACAGGGCAAAGGTTTACAGTACAGATGCCCACTTCACAGTCCCCAACTATAAAAGCATCAATTCCTGCAACCCGCAGTTCAGAATGTTCTGATTAATCCATCATTAATTGGGTCTAAAAACATTCTTATTACCACTAACATGGTGTCATCACAAAATACTGCCAATCAATCATCAAATGCATTGAAAAGAAAACGAGAAGATGATGATGATGATGATGATGACGATGATGACAATGATGACTATGATAATTTGTAATCTAGCCTTGATGCTTGTAACATGTACACTTGGTCTTGAAACCATTGTACTGAGATTAAACATGCATGCTGGGTATTTTCAAGTTGTGTTGTAGAAAACTTAAATGGCATTTAATGAGTAAATATGGTTATCCTTTCCGCTTGAGATGTTGGGTTTTCTTTAATAGGATTATAATGGTTATTCATCATCCTTTAAGTGTAAAAATAAAAATGTTCATCAATTTGAAAAAAAAAACAACCACTTTTCCATTGCAATGTTGAGTCTCTAACCCACTGTCATCTTGATACAGCTAAAAATTTACAAAATTGAAAAACCCACATATGCATTTAAATCTTCACATGAATCATGTTTCTTTCTTCTCTATACTGGGTTCTATAGAAGTTATTTTCTTGTCCCTTTTGATCGTTTTTTATAAGGACTTGAGAACTTGGTCTCTAGTAAAGAGTTTTCATATTCAGGGAAATACCTCAGGGCGTGTCAGAAAATAGCATATACACTTGAAAAAGAAATATCAACAGCTGCTCTGTACTGAACTCTTCTTTGTTCCTGGCATTAAGTTTATAGAGCTATCCTCATTTAAACATTAAGGACTCTGTATGTATCCATCATTATCATTCTGTAGACACAAAAATTAACACTCAGCGGTTAAAAGTCATAGAGATTGAATACTGAAGAGCTTGAATTTTAAAGCAAACCACTGTCTTCACATACCAGGGTTTCTCAACCTCAGTACTTTTGGGCCACATAATTCTTTGTTATGGGGAGCTGAACAGAGTAACATAACAAGGAAAGAAAGCCAATAAAAGTGGTGTGACAGTTGGTCCAGTAATTGGCTACAGAAGACAATATGAGAAATTGCATGAAATGCATCTCAAGACTGCCAGTCTGAAGTGAAGGAAAAAAGGGAAGCATATATCTACTGACTCCTACCTCCCATGGACCAAAGTTTGCTCTGCAGGGTGTTAAATACCCCTCACGCTGGCTTGTACAACTTGAGCAAGTTCCCATGGTGGGCACTGCCAGAGCAATAACAGAGAAGCCCAATTCTAACAGCAGGAGGCAGGCAGTAGGAGCTAACCCAGATCTCAAGCTGCACCAAAGTGAAGCTGCCCGCTACTGTAAATGGAGTGATTTTTACTGCTTCCGTTTTTAGATGCTAATTATTAGAGAAAAACTATTGACTTCTGTACATTCATCTCATACCCAGTCACACTACCAAGAAATACCACGTAATTTTTTCCTGAAAATATTTTTACTTTGCCTACTAGTTTTTTTAAGATTTTATTTATTTGTCAGAGAGAGAGAGAGCACAAGCAGGGGGAGAAGTAGGCAGAGGGAGAAGCAGGCTCCCTGCTGAGCAGGGAGCCCAATGCAGGACTCGATCCCAGGACCCTGAGATCATGACCTGAGCTGAAGGCAGGCGCTTAACCGATTGAGCCACCCAGGTGCCCCCTTCACTTGTCAAAACTAGTGCACCTGGGGGCACCAAAATTTGTTGATCCATTCAAGCGTTGTACATTTGGGTTGTATTTAGTTTGGGGCTATTATGAATAAAGCTGCTAAAAAAACCATGTCTTTTACAGATGTAGTGAAAAGAAGGGCCATATGCACCCCAATGTCCATAGCAGCAATGTCCACAATAGCCAAACTGTGGAAAGAGCCGAGATGCCCTTCAACAGACGAATGGATAAAGAAGATGTGGTCCATATATACAATGGAATGGAATGGAATGGAATGGAATGGAATATGGAATGGAATATTACTCAGCCATCAGAAAGGATGAATACCCAACTTTTACATCAACATGGATGGGACTGGAGGAGATTATGCTAAGTGAAATAAGTCAAGCAGAGAAGTCAATTATCATATGGTTTCACTTATTTGTGGAACATAAGGAATAGCATGGAGGACAGTAGGAGAAGGAAGGGAAAAATGAAGAGG